ACACACATATGCCAGAGTATAATATTATAATGTTCAACTCTCATCCCTTTAAAGTTTGGTATATTGACATGATTCATTTTGGTATATTGACATGATCCACACACATATGCCAGAGTATAATATTATAATGTTCAACTCTCATCCCTTTAAAGTTTGGTATATTGACATGATTCATTTTGGTATATTGACATGATCCTTTATCAAATATCATATAAATTCAAATTATATACTATCTATGAAAGTTTTAAAAAGTACTGTAATGTCACAGTTGCAGAAACAATTGCACTCTCAATTAAACAAAGGTAAAGAAGTTCAGGTTTTTAAATTATAATTCATCAAGGAGTGTTCTTTGAATCCACAAAGAGATGAGCTCCAATCCATCAAAATAGAATTTTATTGATAAAAAGTTATGCCTCTATGACTTATAATCCTCTGCTTAAATAGAAAATAAACAGGAACCCTTACCAAAAATAAAAATAACAAAACTTTTCTTAAAAAATCTCCCTATAATTAAGAAAACAAATCGGCCAAACTTAAAAGAAAATGGGATTTGCTTACTAATCAAAATATACTGCTAAAATATTACGCACAAATAGCAAAAAAATAGGCAAAAAGTGTGATATCTCTCAATCCGGAGGGAATTTCGCAAAACAGATGGCTGCAAACCTAACATCTGTGGGTTTGGTTGACTCTGTCTTGAAAAAACATTAAATTTTCATATATTATTTGTCCAATTTCATCACACGATTTGGGAGATATGACTCGTTCTTTATTACAAGTCAAATTTCTCTATCGAACCCTCATCTAAGCTTTTGATAATCCAATTTTTCCATGAATGCCACTGTAACATGTTCTACATTAGTTTTCTAGGGATTGGATGGGTACGTGTTGATTAATAATTTGTCAGTCTAAATTTTGAATAAATGATTTAATGACATGGGATCAAAGTATGGAACTTCAAAAGCTATGAGGTTAAATTCACACTATTCATAACTTATTTATTTATCCTTATTTATTCAAGGTTTTGTACTTTTTTATTTACAATGCGTTAGTCAATTTTGGAACATTTTTATAAGAATTGGGATAATATTATAGTGAGATAATTTTTTGAAAATGGGATATTTTAGTGAGATAATTAGAAATAATTTTTTTAAAGTGAGATATTTTGGTAAAATAATATGGGATAATTTTTTATAATCATGAAGTACATAATTTATGCATTTTGATGATATAAGTATTATTTATATTTTTAGACTTACAACTGTGTATTAATAATTGTTTAATATAATGTTACTTATATTGTTGAATAAATTTTGGTTAAAATACAATATATTATTAATAATTATTATAATAATAATTCATAATTTTTTATGTTTATGAATTATTATAGTACTAAGTTAAAACTTATCATTGTTTTCTATTTCCTTCTTTTTTTACACCCCAAAACTTTTTCCCTCGAATCTCAATTTCAAAAAAAAATTAATAAATTATGGATCTATAATTCTTTTTACTTTAAAATAATTATATAAATCTAATATTTGGTAAAAAAAATAGTATATAAAGAGATGTGTAAGAGGAGAGGCGGTCTAATTTGATAGCATGGTCAGATGATGGCGATGACCAATAGAGGAAGAGAGGATGGAGAAAAGAAAATAAATATGAAAAATAAAAATTATATTATATTATATTAAATGATACTCCCTTTAAAATTTAAAATCATGAGTTTAGTAAAAGAATTTATTCGTGAATATTACCCTTGAGCCTTTTAGATATTACATTATTATCTTATCTTATCCTAATTAATATATCCTAACTAATAGGTATAAGCTTATCAACCATAGGATTACAATAATTATTTACAAACTTCTTAAACATGTGAATTATTTACAAATCCTTAGCTTAGAACTCTTATATTATTTTAAATATAACCATTAGTGCATATCCGATTGTTTTAAAAAGTTCTGCTACTATCTTATGAGCAAAATTATTGTAGATAACCATTAGAACACATAAGATTAGTTTGAAAACTTGTGCTACTATCTCTTCAACAAAGTGGAAATTCTAGAAATATTTCATATATAGTTAGATTTAACTTTCTTTGCTTTAAAGAAAGTTACTTTTTATGTAGTTACTCTTTTTTTTTGGTCAATGAAAAAGCTTTTTATTCATTTACCAAAATATGGAAATTATGTACATCACTATCTCAACATTGAGAAAACCAAGCTTCTAAAAAAACGTCAAAATTACAAAGATATTAACCAATCTCTATGTTCAGCAGAGATGGCACTGTTCAGACATATAGTAAAAATATCCATTTTGATGACCTTCACTAATTGATCAATACTCTTTAATCGCTACTGAAAACATCTGCCATTTCTTTCTTCCCATAACCTGTACACAGCAACCGCAAGAGCCATTCTTCTAACCTTTTTTTTTTGAATCCCTTCCCTCTCTGTTTGGTGTTATACCAATACAAAAGTAAGGTCCAATCACAAGTTTGCCAATCCATTTTAAGCCAGATCATGATGTTTAACCACACATCCCTGGAAAAAATGCAATCAAAAAATCAGTGATTGTTGTTCTCATTTCCTGTACCTGCACACAGGAGGCATGAATTTGCATTGATGATTCCTCTCCTCATCAATCTGTCTTGTGTTTGCAACCTGTTCTGCACCGCCAGCCACAACACAAATGAGTGCTTGGGATAATTCAACTTCCCCCACACTATGTTAAACCAGGGAACATTTTGTGAAACAGGGGAGAATGTAGTGTAAACTGCTGATAACTGGATTTTAGAGCTTTTATAACAAGTACTAAGCATGTGTATCAGGTTGCCAATCCCTCCAACTTCATTAAAAGCTTTATCCCTACTCTTGAGAAGCTGCTTCCACATCCAAGAGTCCCCTTTTTCGGCTTTGACATGCCATACATCCCAATGCTTTAAGTAATTCCCATGAATCCATTTCACCCATAAAATTTCCTTGTTAACATGAATATACCATATGCTCCTCATAGCTGAAGCCAGATTCCAATTAACAGCAGAGAAAACTCCCAGTCCACCTTGTTTTTCCCACAACATACTTTATCCCATGAAACCAATGGAGTTTTAAAAGAGTTTTCAGACTTTCCCCACAAGAATTTCCTGCATTTCTCATCAATCAACTTCACAACCTTTACTGGAAGTATGAAATTAGATGTCCAGTAATTTTGAACCCCTAATATCACACTTTTGATTACCTGAAGTCTCCCTGCATACGATAGGTTGCTATGTCTTGACCACTTCTGAAAATGGTTTGAAATATTATCCAACAATGGATTGTAATCCACATATGTTAGTCTCTTACAAATGAGAGGAACACCTAGATATTTGAAGGGAATGACACCTTCTAAAAAATCCAGGAAGTTTTTTTATCTCTATTTTGGCAGAATCATCAACTCCTCCAAAGTATATAGAGCATTTGTCCAGGTTAGCTTCCAGACTAGTTGCATCACTGAAATCTTTCACACAATGATGTAGATTTTGGATTGAATATAAATCTCCTTTGGCAAAGAGTAGCAGGTCATCCGTAAAGATGAGATGTGATATTTTGAGCTTGCCACACATTGGATGATATTTGAACAGCCTGTCCTTCTTTAAGAGCTCTAATCTCCTAGAGAAGAATTCTATCCCTAGAATGAATAAGTATGGTGAAAGGGGATCACCCTGCCTTAAGCCTCTCTTTCCTTCAAAATAACCATGAAGTGTTCCATTGAGAGAAATAGAGAATTTAGGAGAAGAGATACAAACCATGATCTAGTTTATCATCTCTCTAGGAAACCTCAGCCCTTCAATCATTTTCCTTATAAAATCTCAGCTTCTTGTGTCAAAAGCTTTTCTAATATCAATATTCATCATGACTCTTGGTGAAATGCTTTTTCTACTATAGCTTTTAACAAGCTCATGTGCCAATGAGATATTACTTGTAATTTGTCTACCTTTGACAAAAGTACTTTGTGCTTCATTCACAATGCTCCCCATGATTGGTTTAATTCTATTTGCTAGGATTTTGGAAATAAATTTATAGATGCAGTTGCAGCAAGATATGGGTCTAAAATCAGAGGGGAAACTGGACATTGTTTCTTAGGAATAAGAGTAATGTCAGTTGAGTTTACCATTCCCAGCAATTTCCCATTTTTGAAGAATTCTTCAATTGCTAAAGTCACCTCCTCCCCAATCATAGACCATGCAGATTTATAGAATGTAACTCCATATCCATCTGGTCCTGGTGCTTTGTTATCATCCATAGAAAAGATTGTATTCTTTATCTCTTCTTTTGAAACAGGTCTGGAAAGCATATCAGCTTGTGCTTCATTCAAGCATGGTCTAGCTTGAATAACTTGAATGTCTGGTGTGGTTGTAACTGGAGCTGCCCCCAGTAGGCCCTTGAAGTATGACACCATTTCATTTGCAATCTTCTCTTGATCAGAAATTCTCTGCCCTAAGGTATTGTAAAGTACCAACACCTTATTATGATGTCTATTTTTTTTATTCTGGAGTGGAAAAAACTTGTGCACCTATCCCCTTGTACACTCCAATTAATCCTGACTTTTTGCTGTAGAAATAAAAGCTCATAATCTAAAAGTTTGTTATAATTTGCAATATACTCCCTTTCCTTCATAATGTAATCTGGATTGAGAGGATTTATTTGCAAACTGCCTTGAACCTCTTCAAGAGCCTTTTTAGCTCTAAGAGCCTGCTCACCAATATTATAATAGTGCTTCTTGTTTAACTCCTTAAGTGCACCTCTCATCAGTTTAAGCCTCTTGCAAACTGCAAACATTTTGTATCCCTCTATTTTTGTTTGCCAAATGGCAGAAACAGTAGGAATGTAGCTATCATGCTTGGACCACATCTTGAAGAATCTAAAAGGTTTCTTTCCTTTTGAATATTCCTGGAAAAGTGAAACTAAAGCAGGAGAATGGTCAGAGAAGTAAGGTAGCAAGAATTCAACCTGACTAGCATTATACATGTTAAGCCATGCATTATTCACCAGAGCTCTATCCAGTCTACACCACACTCTAGAATCATGATCTTGTTTATTGTTCCATATATAGAAGCATCCTGTTGTTTTTAGATGATTTAGATGGTAGTCTTCAATTAAATCCCTAAAATGTTTGGTGTCAGCTTCAGTAATTATAGCACCTCCAAGCTTTTCCTCACCATTGATGACAGTGTTAAAATCACCACACATGATCCATGATTCATTCCTCATTGATTGCTTTATAGTTTTCAATTCAGTCCATAGCTCCTTCCTAGCCTCCATTTGGTTAAAACCATAAACAGATGTAATCATGCATTCCATTCTCCTATCCAATGAAACTACTTTACATGTGATACTTTGATCAGATATGTTGATTATTTGAACACCAAGGATATTTGAATCCCACATTATCATAATTCTGGCTTTTCCATGAATTCTGGCATTAGATACCTAGTTCCAGCTTCCAGTAATTTTTTTTGCTACTTGCTGAAGCTTGCTATTTTTTATTTTTGTTTCAAGTAATGTTATATAAGAGAGCTGATACTGATATAAGAATTTTCTAATCATATGTTGCTTAGAGGATTTGTTTAATCCCCTAACATTCCAGAAGGATATATTCATGTTTGTCGCCCCCTCTATCTAATGTAGAGGGATCAATATCCAAAAAATCCAGGTTTGCAAAAGAATTTCCAGAAATGATATGCTTATTCTTTATACCTTTTAGAACATGAGACCAAGATCTATTCCCTTGTGGAGAACATCCAGGACTGAAATTACCTCATGTATTTTTTCCCCTTGACATGCACCACATGTACAGCACTGTGCGCTACCTGCTACCCCGAACCTGATGGATCTTTATCAGCAGTCTTCCTCCCACTTACATTAACCATCTCATTTATCTGATGGTTATTGTTTTCATCCCAGTATCAGAAATGTACACAGTCCTCTGACTATGCTCTGCCTGTTTACTGCCTTCATGTTCAGCATTATCCATATTCAGGTTAGCATTTGATACATTTTCCTGCAAATCCTTCTCATGTTCATGAGTAATAAGAATAACATTCACAGTATTAGCTTTTTCCTTCCCTATATTACCAGTAATTGGATTCTGGTTTTGCTTAGGGACCCATCTTTGGGTTTTCACCAGTCTCCTACAGGTTTTTAAGTCATGACCAACCTGCTTGCACACATCACACCACTTAGGTTTTAATTCATAATTCACCTTCTGAGTGTATTGCTTTCCTTTTGGATCTTGAATGTTGATCTTATCAAGAAGAGGGGATGTCAATTTAACCTCTACTAGCACCCTCGCATAAGCCAAGCGCTGTCTGTTTGCAGTCAATCTATCAGTTGCAATTAGACATCCTATAGCACTTGCAATTTTAGAAATGCTTCTAGCATTCCACATGTTGAGCCTCAGATATGGAAGTTAAATCCACATAGGATATACACAGTCATTTATTTTATCAATTTCTTCACCATTTGACCATTGCTTCAATAAAGGTCTTGATCCAAAGAACCAAGGTCCTTTACACAAAATCTCATTCAGCTCATCAATACTCTTGAATTTGAACAAAAAAATTCCAGGTTTGAGAAGACAAATTTACGACATAAAATTTTTCCATGTTCTTTGCACATAATTTTCCATAGCCTTAAACTTGACATTCAATCCAATTACTTGATCTATTAGTGAAGATTGCCAAATTAATATATCCTCATTTCATTCTTCTTCATCAAAAGAAACTGTGTCTTTGTTTTCAGAGGATACATAGTTTAAATTCATTCCGTACCCTAACTTTCTATAGTTTAAATTCATTCCGTACCCTAACTTTCTATTGTCAGTGAATAGACTAGCCCAACTTTTTCCAGATTTTTCTCCTGTTTCATTAGAATCAACCGGAGCCTCAACAGCCTTAGCAATTCCACTAGCAGGAGCATTAGATTTCCCAAAATTCAATAAAACAGTATTTTTCTCTTATGCCAGATCCAAACTCAAAGAATTACTCAAGATTGAGACCTACTAAGCTCAAGATTGCCATTAGATCCAGTAGAGTGAAGCTTACCAAGATCAAGAACACCAGTCACCCGATCACACTGATGATCCAGATCACCGCCAGTAACTCAAACTTGCTGACGATCTTGAACATAATCATGGACTCGATCATACTCCAAATTGCCTGAATTCAGCACTTCAACCATAGATCTAGTCTTTTTTGTCCCTTTTGGGCCAGTAGATCCCATCTCAATTAAATCTTCATCATCTCTCCCACTTTGAGGATCAGAATGATCATCAGAGACTGTTGAAATCATCTTTGAAGCTCTCAGACCTATCTCCAAAATCTTTTTACTACTACTTTTCTTCTTCTTAGCCATCAGGAACTCAAATTTTCTCGGCGGTGGCATAGGATAGCATCACAAAAATCGCCCGCTATCTTACACCGTTCAGACCGCCCATTTTTTCTTAGCTGCTATAACTTAAGTTATTAGACTGTTGAGCACATGCAAGTGGTATACGCAAATAAAATGTATCCAGAAGGATCAATAGTGGAAGAATAGTTACTCTTTATATGTTGTTACTCTTGTTGGATGTTCTTTATATGCTTTATACTGCTACCGAAGAGAACTTAATTATTTTCATTCTATAAGTAACTTCTTTATAAGGTATGTTTTTCAGTGGATGAAGCTGAGTTTAAGTGTTTTAAGAGTCGGGAATATGACACAAGTAGAGACATAGTTTCTTTTTCTTTTGTTACTCATATGCTACACTTTTTTTTAGTAAATGAAAAAATTTATTCATTTAGCCGTATGGAAGAATTATGTACATCAGAACTCTTATACAGAGTAAGCTACAAACTTTTGAAAATAAGAAACACAGCATTTGAAAGGAAAAAAACCCCTGTCTAACTAATTTTCAGAAGAAGAGCAGAACCACAGAACTTGGGGAGCCGCCTGAATTTATAAAGAAAGTATCCAATCCTTATTCTCTATAGGTATATTACTGTTAAGAATTATTGTCATCAAATCCACCTTAATGGTTTTAATAAGTTGCTCTATCATTCTGGATTTCTGAGTGAAAATCCTCCATTTCTTTCCAACCAAATGTTGTACATAGAGGAGGAAAAAGTCATTCTTTTCACTTCTTCCTTGAATCCCTTCCCCCTCAAACTAGAACTGTACCAATTTATTAACTGATTCCAATCACAACTCTTCTTTTTAAAGAGTAGTCAATCCATAATATTGTTCCATATTTCTTGCGTTAAGAGTCTATCTTGAATAGCTAGCCAAGTAATGAAAGAATGCTTAGGGTAGTTTAATCCCCCCAGATAGTGGTACACCATGGCATTTTTAACAGTAGCAGGGGATAAGGCATGGTACAGGTTTGAGAGTTTGATTTTTGAATTTTTGCTGCATGACCTGATGATTTCCACTAAGTTTTCAACTCCACCACAATGATTCAAAGATTTATTTTTGATTTTCAAGAGTTGCTTCCACATCCAAGAATCCCCAACTTTTGTTTCCACTTTCCATATATTCATATGTTTTAGGTATGTACCATGGATCCATTTGATCCATAAGCATTCCTTATTTGAGTGAATATCTCATATTGTCTTCAATGTGGCTGCATAGTTCTATATGATTGAAGAGAAAATCCCCAGGCCTCCATATTTTTTCCCCGAGCATGTTTTTTTCCCATGATACCAAGGGAGTCTTGAAAACTTCATCACTTTTTCCCTAGAGAAAATTCTTGCAGAGTGCATGTACCTTCTAAAGCACTTTAATTGGCAAAATATAGCTGGAAGTCCAAAAGGTTTGAATGCAAAGAATGACACTCTTTATTATCTGTATTCTGCCAGCATATGATAAGTTCCTTTGCTTCAAGCAACTTTGAAATTAGGTGGAGATTCTGTGAAAGAGTGGATTGCAATCCTGATAAGTGAGCCTTTTGCAGACTAAGGGGACCCCTAAGTATCTGATAGGCATACTCCCCTCAGTAAAACCCAAGTATTCTTTGATATTATCCTTAACAGGCTCAGCTACTCCTCAATAAAAAATGGCACATTTATTTGGATTTGCTTCAAGCCCAGGTACTTCACTGAAACTGGATACACATTGGTAAAGCTTCTGAATTGAACTAAGATCACCTTTGCAAACTAACAAAAGATCATCCACAAAGATTAAATGAGTGATTTTAAGCCTCCCATGCTTTGGATGAAAATTGAAACTTCTGTCGTGCTTCAGTAGATCAAGGCTTCTAGAATGATATTACATCCTAAGATGAACAAATAGGGAGAGAGAGGATCCCCTTGCCTTAAACCTCTTTCTCCCTTAAAGTAGCCATGAAGGGAGCCATTGAGAGAGATGGAGTATTTTGGAGTAGATATACAAGTCATGATCCTACTTGACAGAAAACTAGGGAAACCCAAGCCTTTTAGCATTTCCTCAATGAAATTCTAGCTAATGGTATCAAAGTCCTTTTTAATATCAATGTTTACCATAACTTTAGGAGAAATATGTTTTCTGTCATAGTTTTTGACTAATTCATGTGCTAGTAGGATATTATTGGTAATATGTCTACCCTTTATAAAAGCATTTTGGGCTTCACTGATGAGACAACCCAAAACTGATTGTATTCTATTAGCAAGGATTTTTTATATCACTTTATATAGGCAATTACAGCAGGAGATTGGCCTGAAATCAGAGGGAGTACTTGGACAGTGTACCTTAGGGATAAGAGTGATGGATGTAGAATTTATTGCTCACAGCAACTTCCCTGTTTTGAAAAAATCCTCAATTGCAAGCATGACCTCCTTTCCAATAACAGACCAAGTAGACTTGAAAAATCAGCTCCATATTACATCAGGACCTGGAGATTTATTATCTGGCATAGAGAAGACTGCTTGCTTGATTTCCTCTTTTAAAACTGGTGCTGATAAAATTTTGCTTTGATTTTCATTCAGGCAGGGACCATTTTGTATAATCCTTGAACTAGGATTTGATGTTGATACAACAATGCCCATAAGGTTCTTGTAGTAAGAGATAAATTCATTTACAATCTTCTCTCCCTCTATTATTCTTTCACCCCTCATGCTATTGTTTAAAACTAGCACTCTATTCTGATGTCTGTTTACTTTAATAATGGAATGAAAGTATCTGGTACATCTATTTCCTTTGATACTCCATTGGATTATGGCTTTCTGTTGGTAAAAAGATATTTCACAGTGTAAGAGTTTATTGTAGGTAGTTAAATTCTCTTTTTCTTGCCTGATGAGAGAAGGATTAAGATGATCTTCTTGGAGCCTTTTTTGAGTTTCCTCTAATGCATATTTTGCTCTTTGAACCTGCTCACTTATGTTGTCATAGTGTTTTCTGTTTAGTTCTTTCAAAACACCCCTCAAACGTTTGAGTTTGGTATGAACTGAGAACATTCTATATCCTTCAACTTGATCTTGTCATATGGTAGAAACTGTGGGCAGGAAATTGTTATGATTAATCCACATAATAAATAACTTAAATGGTTTTTTTTCCTTGCTTTTTCTCTTCATAAATTGATACCAAAGTAGGAGAATGTTCAGAGAAGTTTGGAAGCAGGAACTCCACATGACTTGAATTATATTTTTGAATCCATGAGTCATTTACTAGTGCTCTATCCAATCTGCACCAGACTCTAGTGTCATGCTCTTGCTTATTATTCCAGGTGAAGAAATTCCCCAAACTTTTAAGGTGTAAGAGATGGCAGTCTTCAATAAAAGAGTTGAAATCTTTTGTATCTGCATCAGTAATTGTATAGCACCCCCTAGCTTTTCATCATTATTTATCATAGTGTTGAAGTCCACACCGAGAATCCAAGGAACATTCCCTAAAGATTGATGCAATTGGAAAAGATCAGCCCACATTTCCTTCCTGGAATCATGTTGATTATATCCATATGCTACACATAACTTTTATAGATTAACATTATTTTTGTGTTCTTTCGTTTTTAGTAAACATCATGTGCAGTCTGCATAGAAGAATGGAAACTAGACATAGTTCCTTTATATCAGAATATGCAACTTGAATACGAACATATATATTTGCGTGGCAGTTCTGAATTTTTATTTTATCTTTATTATACCCCCTTGTCGACTTTGAATTCTATATGCTGCGAAGGTAAGCATTATTCTTAAAAGATCCCCCAGTTTTGAGCTTCGGCGGCAAGATTTAGGGGGTGAGTTAATTTGTAAAGATATCGAATTGTTTGGTTTTAGGTGTACATGTTCAAAATTCCCTTTGTGAGGCTATTATTTACTAAAAATCACTATAAGATGATGTATGTTATGCCTCCTTTGAATAAAATCTAGCTTACGATTTAAGTTCTTCGAAAGGAATATGTTCTTACTATAAAATAGCCCCTAATCATAGTTAATTATT